GGGCCCAGCCGCTCCGCGGCAAATGGGATCTTCCCAGACCGGGGTACGAACCCGCGTACCCTGCAGCGGCAGGCGGACTCTCAATCACTGCGCCACCAGGGAAGCCCAAAAAGTAAGAATTTTAAACAAAGTAAATACTATGTGTCAGGTTCTGTTCTAGGTACGGTATGATATAAATCTAAAACCAACTTGATTTTCTTTGCAGGTAACCTGTGTTTGCACCAGCGGGCCACAGGACGTGTCTTTGTTGTAAAGCAAAGATTTAAAAAATATCAACTGAACAATTGTTTATAATAGCAGAATATCATAAATGATATAAGTACCCATTTGAATCATACAGCTATAAGAAAGAATGAGAAAAATTCCCATAGGCTAATAAATAGTGAGTTCTAGGGGAACAAAAGGCAAAAAAACCAAGGTGAAGAATATACTACATAGTATGCTGTCCCTTCCATAAAGAAGGACTTCCATGATAAAGGAGAGATAAGAATTGCGGGAGGGGGACTTTCCTGGTGGTCCAGTGGTTAAGAATCCACCTTCCAATGCAGGGGAAGCGGATTCGATCCCTGGTTGGGGAACCAAGATCCCACATGAAGCGGGGCAACTAAGCCTGCATGCTGCAACCACTGAGCCCGTGCACTCCAGAGCCCAAGCACCACAACTAGAGAGGAGCCCATGTGCCGCAACCAAAGATCCAGCATGCTGCGGGGAAGATCCTGTGTGCCGCACCTAAGACCCAATGCAGCCAAAAAACAAGGGGGGGGAAGGGAATAAATATATAAATATGAATATATATACAAAAAAATTTAACAGATTTATTTTTGCAAAAGGAAACAAGAGAAGGATAAACCAGACAGTAATAAAATTGTTTCCTAGAAGGTAGGCAGAAACAAAAAAGAAGGGATAGGGAAGGGAATGAAACTTCTCTAAGAAAATTCTTTTATATAGTTTTGACAGTTAAGCCATGTTAAAATGTTTTATATACTTAAAAAATTAAATTGATAAGGATGGAGGGACCCTAAAACTGAATACAGTTTGTATTGTACAAATACAAACTGAAACAAATGAACCTAACCACATATCAGGTTGATAACATAACCACAGAGAAGGAAAGGAGAATTATTTTAAGTAGCTTCTGAACATAGTACTGTAACCATCCACCCTCAGTGGGATATATTCCAATGACAAAAAAGAACTGCTATTTGCAGTGGTACAGTAATTCCAAAACTCCTCTGTGTACTACAGTTGTGAGTAAACAAATATACAGCCAGATGTTTTTCACTGGAGAAAAGGGGAATAAAATTATGGAACAGAAGAAAGGTTAGAATTGGAGATGTCAGTACAAGTCATGATTTTAAAATCTTATCCTTAGGTGTTACAATGGTAGATAAAATGAATTATCTAGTGAATAAAAAAGTTAGTGTACTCACTGACAAAACTTTTGCCAGGAATGATCTAGATGTGATCACTGGTGTTGCCCAGAATGCAACAAAATAAAGGCAATGATATTTTGCATTCTATGAGCATTTTGTAGTGGACCTTTCTAATCTTCATTCCTCTTACATCCTTAATCTGCCAAATTCATTCATAAGCCTTGTATTATTTGTTAGGGTTTATTTCTTATTTGTTAGCAGGCAAGAAATATAAAAGTTTCTTGACCCTATGCTCAATTCTTTTGTATGATGGCTAAAAATCTCTACGTATCTATAATGAGGGGATAAGATGATACATACCACTCTCAATTTAATTCCTGATTTCTTACAGACATTTACTCATTGCAGCCCTGGTCTAGCTTGCATCCCAGCTTCCCCTTCCTCATTGATTCTCTGACCTAATGGAATACCTGAGAAATGGTGACTCCTAGCATGACCTGTACACAGGACTCCCTTCCCTGCCCAGCCTACTTGTGTGGACCACGCCTTCTGTACTGTAATGCCATCAACACTCTGCCTGTCTAACAGGGACCTATTATCCTTAAATAGATGGAGAAAAATCAGGGAGAAGGGAGTAAGAGGATAGGCACCATTCTAGTCCCTAAAACAGCATCAGGTAATGTTCTGCAGAGTGCTGCCCAGACCCTGGTGGTGCAGGCTTTTGTAGCTGAGCCAGGGAAGTGATAATGGGATGTAGATAATGACTTTCTTTCTATCTTTCTCCAAGCCATTCCTGTTTCCACAAGGAAACAAGTTTATCTCAGATCTGTCCTAAAGATTAAGGCAGACACCTTCCTGAGTTCCTAGATGTTATTGCTGCCTCTTTTCACATCTTCATAGGTATTTGGGTAGCGGGCTGAGGAAGCTGCTGTTGAGGGCAGCTAACCAGATAGTATTTTAAACTACAAACCTCTTGGTTCTTTGCACTCTTGATTAATGTTGTCATTATCAGCCCAGCTTTCTAAACCAGAAATTTGGAACTCACCATGGCTTCCTTCTTTCACCTCTTACCCAATGAATACATCAGATTCTACCTCAGAAATATTCTCATATTTGACCTTTATTCAGTCTACTCTGCTAGTCCTTGGTTCAGGATTTCAAAATGTCTTCCTAGAAATACGCATTTTAAAAAACTTCCTTTTGGAGACAGATGGATATATGAGTATTATTATACTAACTGTCTCTACTTTTGCATATGTATGAAAATATTCATTTAAGAAGTTGAAAATAATAAGCCTTTAGTGATGAGACTGACAGGATCTTACTGATAATGACACTTAGTCTTGAGCTAGCCTATTTCCAGGCTTGCTTTTCCTCTGAGTTTGGAGGAATGTATTTTAGCAACTTAGCTCATTTTTATATTTTTAGACAATGTAACTGAGGCAACAAATGTTATAGTTTTTAAGTCTTACGGTACAGCACTATGATTTAAACAAAAGTAGTTATTTTCATTAAAATTTTTAATGTTTCTATTTGTTTCTATTTATATCTTTATTTTTTTAAACTGGTTTTCATTTTTTCCCTTTTCTTTTGAACATCAGACCCAGCTCCCTTTTCCCTCTTCCTTTGTTTACCCTCAACCTCTCTACTTCTTTCTGGTACCGATCCTGAATTACTTTTCTCATTTTCTATATAAAAAATCCATTTTTAAGTGTCTATGTGATTGTTGCCCCTTATGGTTCTACACATCAGGAAACCTGTCTCAGTGCGGGGAGTCCCAGAGTCTGTGTCATCCCCTATGCAGCCTCAAGACCTACACTGAATGTCAGACTTCCCTGGTGGCGCAGTGGTTAAGAATCCACCTGCCAATGCAGCGGGCATGGGTTCGAGCCCTGGTCCAGGAAGATCTCACATGCCACGGAGCAACTAAGCCCGTGCGCCACAACTACTGAGCCTGTGTGCCACAACTACTGAAGCCCACGCACCTAGAGCCTGTGTTCTGCAACCAAGAGAAGTCACCACAATAAGCCTGCACATGGCAACAAAGAGTAGACCCCGCTCGCCGCAACTAGAAAAAGCCCGCGCACAGCAAAGACTCAACACAGCCAAAAATCAATCAATCAAAAAATAAACAAATTAAAAAAAAAAAGACCTACACTTTTGAGGTCATGAGATGGTCAAGACCTATTGAAGATGAAGACTAAAAGAGCAGCACAGCCCCTCATTTGAGGGAATTAATTTTGCCACAGTTCTCCAGCAGATGTCACTAGTTAGTAATCGGAAACAGTACAAAGTAACAATAGATTATCCAGCAGAATTTCCTCTTCTAAATTTTAACTGGTGCTTCTTCCATCCAGAAACGTGAATCACTAAAATGTGTTTGTGAGAGAAAATCCCCTCATTTCTACAAAGAAATGAGCCCAGATCCTGGTCACAGGCATGAGGCCCTGTGCTGTCCTGCCAGTGCCCATGAAGAGTTGATATAGCCTGGGTATATTAGTCAGCTAGGGCTGCCATAACAAAATACTACAGACTGGGTGGCTTAAACAACAGAAATTTATGAAACAAAAGGGTTTTTCTTTTTTGGATGAAGTTTTTTAAAAAAAATATTTATTTATTTATTTGGCTGCATTGGATCTTAGTTGCAGCACGTGGGATCTTTCATTGTGCCACGTGAGCTTCTCTCCAGTTGCGGCGCGGGCTGCACAGCGCGTCGGGCTCAGTAGTTTGGGCACGTGGGCTCTACAGTGCGTGGGCTTAGTTGCCCTGTGGCATGTGGGATCTTAGTTCCCCAACCAGGGATCGAACCCACGTCCCCTGCATTGGAAGGAGGAATCTTAACCACTGGACCACCAGTGAAGTCCCTGGATGAAGTTTTTAAATTAACAGAATCACACTAACATTTCAAACTTTAAGACCGTTAACACTAATTTAGAACTATTTAAAGAAAACTGCCTTTAAGGAATTTATGGACTCTCTTCATTTGATGCATTTATCACTTGATGTAGAGGGACTGTTCTGCTAGAAGGATTTGGAAGGTACAGATTTTCAATTCCAGTGATTTGCAAGGGACAGGCAGCATCAAGAAGGGGAAAAGCTCATCTTTGAAGCTACACTCACTGGAGTCTGAGCTTAGGTCCATCTGTTGCTCACTCACTATTTCTCTATGTCCCTAGTCCTTGGTCTCTTCAACGCTAAGAGGGGATAACAATACTAGAACCATGTTAAAGGGTTAATAGTAGGAGGTGACATTTAAACATAGGGCCGGGCTCACCGGAGACACTCAACAACTGTTAGCTCTCCTATGCTGCTTTACTTTCCAGATTATTATTCAGTCAGACACCCTGAGTTGTTGAAGTCTCTTCTGCAGTGTTTGACACAGCACATGTCCTCACACAACTAGTTTTAGCTGAAATCCTTGGATCACATCAGGAGCACATTCCCCAACTATCTTTATTTTATCTCCTCTCCTACAGCCAGAGCAGCCAGGTCCAGTTTATCCCCCTTCAAGTTCTTAAGACATTCTTCCACCTAGAACGCATCCTTCTTGGTATTGGCCAAATAGTAACCATGTTTTTCAACTTCCAGTGCAATTTCTGCCTCCCTCCAAGAAGTGTTTCTTGATTTTTTTTCTGCCTCCAGTAATTTATCTTCCTGATTCCTCAACCCTTCCTTTGTTCCTTCCTTCTGAAGAATGTGAGTGAGCAATACACAAAGTAGCTTTGGTGAGATATGGGAGCAAAAGTCTGACTAGAATGGGCTCAAGAGAGAATAGAAGAGAAACTAGAAATATGGACAATTCTTTCAAGGGGTTTTGCTATAAAGATATGGAGAGAGAAAGGGTGGCAGCTAGAGAGGGAAGAGTGATTTTTTAAAGTTTTATTTTTAAGAATGGAGACCCAACGTTATGTTTCTTTGCTGAGAAAAATAATCCAGTTGAAGAATAAAGATTATGCAGGATAAAGAACAGGTAACTGCTGGAAGGATGAAGGGTTGAGATCTAGTGTACAGGTGGACAACTGGACTCACAGGCAGATTAAGAAGGATAGATGGGGTGGGAGCCTAAGGAAATTCTCTTCTGTTACTTCTGTTTCCTTAGTTAAATTGAGAGGAAGATTATCTGACAAGAATGAGGATGGGGGAGGAGGTGTTGGAGGTTTGGAGAGAGAGAAGAAACGAAAGACTTATTACCTAGGAGAACAGGGGCGTGAAAGAAGTATAGAAACACAGTATGATTGCTGCCATCAAGAGCCTACTACAAGTTAATGATCATGAACTGAAATAAGATCAGTCAACAGGGCTGCGTATTTTCCCTCAACCAACTACAGCTGTGGTGCAGACACAATAAGTGGAGAATTGGGTTTAACCACAGTGTGGTTTAGCCAAGAAAATAAAAAGGGAAAAGTGAATTGAGGGAAGGTGCCAGGGAGTGGTTATAATCACTGATCAAGAAATTTAAGGTTAGTAAAGAGGAAGCGAGAAAGTGAAAAGGAGACAGGATCAATGAGTTCTGAGAGCTGGAGTGGGACAGCAAAGGAGCTGTTAGAAGACAGCAGGCAGTGGTGGGAGACTGGGATCACTGATTGAGAATATGAAGAGTTGTAATGCTGGTCCTACCACAATACAACCATGGAAACGAGTGGCTGAAGTAGGGTGGAAGACAAGAACCTTGGAGAAGAGGAGGTCAAGGAATGGAAGGACCAGACTGGAAGGATTATCTATGTGGAAATAAGAAGGAACAACCTGGGGGTTATAAGAGGACAAAAACAAGGAGGGGCAGTGGCTGGTAGAATATAATGTGAGGTTTGAAGTCAAGGGTTTTAGGGACGAGGGAGAGAGAATGGCCTGGAAGCAACAATGAGGAACAACAGAGATATTCACCTACCTCCTGTCAGTGTTACAAGGAAGGTGAACGAGAAATGAGCCATTTGAAAAGCCTGCAGGGCAGGCCAAGTTTCAGCTAGATCAGAAAGATGAAGACTGCACTCAGAGAACAGGCTCTGTTCTCTGAGTTTACAGATTTAGCTGAAGACTGACCAAGAGTTCCAGAGGGTATAAGAAAGGGTACATAGGGATGCTAAGGGTAGTACTTAGGAACCATGCTACCTGTGGGCACTTTATCACCTCAACTGTTGCAAGTTACTTAAACTCTGCTTTGCCCCCAAGTTTCCCTATCCATACAATGGGATAATCATAGCATGTATCTCATAGTGTTAGACTGAGGATTATATTCAACAATACAAGGCAGGCATTTAGAAAGACCTTAAAAATGTGCACCTAGCACACAGCCTGCACTCAAAAAATGTTAGCTATTGCTAACAAGCTATTTGCTCTCCTGAATAATCATTTTGGACTCTATTAAGAATCCCTTTTTTTCACTTAACATTTGAATGATATTAAAAAGTTTTAACTCTTCAGTAAGATTGTAAAAGCTAAGGGTAGGGATAATACTCAGTACTTGTCTGAGTCCTCCATAGAGTTCAAGGACTGAACCACATTGACGGAGAGGCTAAGCAGCAATTCATCTGTGACCGTCTGTGACCTCTGGAGGAGATGTCACTGCACTCTCCATTCCCCAGGCCTGTCCCACAGATGTCAAGAGCTATTACTAATCTTTAGGTAAAAAGGGGTGCAGAGATGAACAGAAATGGGAGATAGTAGCTCATGGGTCTCATACTAGCCTCAATTTCTATTCTATTTCCTCTCTGTAAGACTTTTTTTTCTTTTTTGGCTGCACCTCACGGCATGTTGGGACCCCCCCCCCAACTAGGGATCGAACCCGTGCCCCCTGCAATGGAAGTGCAGAGTCCTAACCACTGGACCACCAGGGAAGTCCTCTCTGTAAATGACTTTCTATAAGTAACAACACATTCTTCAAACTCCTTTCAACAGACTTTGGTGTACAACCTTACCAAAAACTTTCTGAAAACATAAATGAGCAGATTTTCTCAAAGAAAATGATTGAGGGATAGGAAAGAGATTCTGAGCCTTATCAGATGTTAGGTCATATGACAATTTAAAGTCAAGAAACCTTCCCAGAACAAGGGGATATGAAAGAATGATGTGACACATACAGCTTGCATAGCAATTTTGAAACACATAAACATCCCAACTGTACAATCAAATAAATTCCATATGTACCTAAAAGTCAAGCATCTTATTATAAGAAAAACTTTCAGAAAACGTATTTATCAGCTCTATGAAAACATGGGGACCTTCTCAGCTTAGGAATAATCATGAAAAAAAAAAGAGATGTACACAGTCAATAAATATTTACTGAGTACCTGCTCTGTGCCAGGTAGTGTTCAAGGTACCAGTCACAGATCAAAATTTTTGAGTCAATAAAAAACAGCAAAATTAAAATAAGTAGCACACCAACCTGGAAAATTTTGTATTAAAAATTTCAAAAGGTTAAAAATCATGATAGGGGCTTCCCTGGTGGCACAATGGTTAAGAATCTGCCTGCCAATGCAGGGGACATGGGTTTGAGCCCCGGTCCAGGAAGATCCCACACACCGTGGAGCAACTAAGCCCACGTGCCACAACTACTGAGCCTGAGCTCTAGAGCCCGCGAGCCACAACTACTGAGCCTTCGTGCCACAACTACTGACGCCTGCGCACCTAGAGCCCGTGCTCCGCAAAAAGAGAAGCCACCACAATGAGAAGCCTGCGCACCGCAATGAAGAGTAGCCCCCGCTCTCTGCAACTAGAGAAAGCCCGCACACAGCAACGAAGACCCAACATAGCCAAAAATCAATCAATCAATCAATTAAAAATCATGATAGAAATTTATTCACACTTATAAAAAATAATCTCGACCACAACAGATAAAAGGGAAAAATATCATCAAACTAGTCCCATACAAGAAAATAAAATAGATTTCCCATATTTGGAAAATGTTCAATTTTGGTTAATAATCAAACGAATCCCAAATAAAACAATTTGAGGTATATCTTACATCTAAATTAAAGGAGTATGTTTGTAAGTCAACAATATAAAAATATATTAAAAAAATAAATGAAAGGAGTAGGCCTATGTTAGTGAGATGCCTATGTTAGTGAGATGGTGGTGGAAAAGAGGTCTTTGCAGGGTGTCTTTCTCCCTGTAGCCTATTTTGTAGACTATCTCTAGTAAGCAATACACAGAAAAAGCCAAGGCAACGCTCTGTCTCTGACCAGAGAATGCTACTTTCAGCACTATTACTGAGGAAGTAATTTAAGTGGCTCAACAATGTAAGCAGGAAGCTAATGGCAAGCATAATATAGAATGCCAGAAGTAGTAATATTGGAAATTGTTGTTTTTAGAAGCCATAATTATGAACATGGAAATATATTAATGACATAAATGAGACAAACTGATTACAATAATATAAAAATAAGTACATATATACTCAGAACTTAAAATGAAACAGAATGAAGGAACCACAGGTAATTTTTATAATGTTCTATAATGCTATCAACTTACCTTTTTATTAAAAAGATCACTTTATTTTTATTTACGATAATCCCATCTTAAAATAGCATTTCAGTAGTATGCTGTGAAAAAGAACACATACCTGATACTCGCCGATCAAATCTGTTAGGAACCGGAACTGCAAAACAAAGAAGCAATGTTTAGTCATCATTGTATCACATGACCCCATCTTTATCCTCCCTTTTTGCAAAGATCTTTGACAAGAGAACTAGGAACCTCAATACCAAGTGGTGGATCAATTCATATTCTTCCATAATCAGCCAGAGACAGTGGTTCAACAAGATCACATAAAGACAATATAAAGAATAATATATGTCTTTGAAAACAAGCTCTTTATAACTTCAACGTGGGTGGCAATTTTATTTCTGTTCACATCCAAGTTCCACCTAATTTGTATCACACCAAATGAATAAGAAGTCTACTAAATTTACTGGTAATTTTATGATATCAAATAGTTAAATTTTCTTCTTTTAAAGATAATCCCAAGACCTGCTAGACCTGCATTTACATTTCATTTTAAAATAACTTAATGAGGGACTTCCTTGGTGGCGCAGTGGATAAGACTCCTCGCTCCCAATGCAGGGGGCCCAGGTTTGATCCCTGGTCAGGGAACTAGATCCCACATGCATGCCGCAACTAGGAGTTCGCATGCCCACGTGCCACAACTAAGAAGCCCACATGCCACAACTAAGGAGCTGGTGAGCTGCAACTAAGAAGCCCGCCAGCCACAACTAAGACCTGATGTAACCAAATAAATTAAAAAATAACTATTTTTTAAAAAATAAAATAAAATAATTTAATGAGTATTACACTAAAATAAAAAATCAACCATGAAGTTATACTCTCCCTCAATACAGGTGGATTTTCTCCACCCATGGTCACTGTATTAATCAGAAAAATGGATCACGTTTTTAGGTTAAAACAAACAAAAAAAAGTTGTTTTGCTAATTTTTCCTACTTTTCACCTATCATTCCTTATGTTTGATGGTTATCTAAATTCTTACCACTGAACTATATATCATTTACACAAGGTGGAGGGACTTCCCTGGTGGTGCAGCAGCTAAGAATCTGTCTGCCAATGCAGGGGACACAGGTTCGAGCCCCGGTCAGGGAAGATCCCACATGCCGTGGAGCAACTAAGCCCATGCAGCCCGTGATCCACAACTACTAAGCCTGCGTGCCACAACTACTGAAGCCTACGTGCCTAGAGCCCATGCTCCGCAACAAGAGAAGCCACCACACAGCAATGATGGGCAGCCCCCGCTCGCCGCAACTAGAGAAAGCCCGCAAGCAGCAACGAAGACCCAATGCAGCCAAAAATAAATTTATAAAAAAAAATAAACAAGGTGTTTTTTTCACCTTCAAACATTAATCTGATTAATTTTATTTTTAAAATATATAAAATATGCCTTATAACCCTCCAAAGAACAGAAATTTGAGATTAGTGAAAAACAAATTGAAGATGGCTCAGAGAGCCAAACTCTAATGCGAGGTCTCTGAAACAAACATAGACCCAGGAAGGAGGCAAATGCTCATTCATCTTAATAGGATTAGGATTATCTTTTTGCACAGCACAGGGTCAAAGTCATGTTACTGGAACAAATAGGCAAATAGTCAAAAGAAAACCCCAGCATTCCTGAAAGTACCTACAATAGTCTGTCACTACTTCCTCAATAAAAAGTGGATTAGTCAAAATTAATCCATCCACCAGGAAAGGAAGTGATTCAGTTCAACAAATATAGGTAAAGTACCTAGTACGTGCCATGCACTACAGTAGACAATTTGGGAGACATTAGTAAACAAAACAAAGATCCCTGATTTCATGGAGCTTGCTTTCTAGCTTGAGAGATGTGGGAGAGTTTCCTTTGATCATCTGAAACACATGTGCTTGTCACTCAGGTAGACAGATGAAATGTACACCAGCATAAGCCCTCAACCCAGGCCTCATGGAATTTCCATAATTAAAACCCCATTAAACATTAGTATACAACCTAAAATTATAAAGTACACAGTGAAACAATTTAGTATGGGTGCTATCAGGGGATACTTCAAACAAAGGGTGAGATATCAAGATTATAGAACTATCATAAAGAAAGAAGAGTATGTTTAAAACAAAGACATAAAAGAAGGAATCAAAATTTTAAAATGCAAACTTAAAATCAATACTTTCGGGCTTCCCTGGTGGTGCAGTGGTTGAGAGTCTGCCTGCTGATGCAGGGGGCGCCGGTTCGTGCCCCGGTCCAGGAGGATCCCGCATGCCGCGGAGCGGCCGGTCTCGTGGGCCGTGGCTGCTGGGCCTGCGCGTCCGGAGTCTGTGCTCCGCGACGGGAAAGGCCGCAGCGGTGAGAGGCCCGCGTACCGCAAAAATAGAAAAAAAAAAATCAATACTTTCATATATCACGCAAAAAAGACAAAAGATTTTTTAAATTCCTAAAGCACTCCCTCTGTGAAAGAGTTCAAAAGTACTTAAAAAAAAAAAGTGACTTGCAGTGTAAAATGTAATTAAAAACACAAACATGCTGCCTGATAAATCTATGTGTTATTTCATTTTAAATTAGTACACATCTTAGAAGCTTTCATAGGGCCAGAGGAAACAGCTGTAGTTGGAGCAAGATACAATGCCAAGGCACAGAGAATGTAATTAATGATTACAGCAGACAGAGACCATCTATTGTAATTTCACCACTGCTTAAATAGCCCAAAACAGAGCACATCAGAGTTTATGTGGGTCAAAGTATTCAACCAGTATAAGTATGAGAAAATCTTCCAGCAGAAAACAATTCCTAAAATGCTCTCCTTTTCTATTACAAACAAATACATAGGTAATAGGAAGACTTAAAATTTAGGTTACCTGATCTGAAAACATGTGCCTCAAAAATATTAACAAATGCAATCTCAGTGGAAACTAAAAGTCATTATTCCTGATTAAATGAACTCATAAATGCTGACATACCCTGAAATTAAAACATGGTTCTTTGAGCAGGTAGAATATTTTATGTGGTGAATATTAAGAACAGGCTGGAGAATTTGAAAACATTTCCCAAAGTCTCTCCTATTTTAAACTGAACGTGATGGACAAGATAATAGAATCTTCACTATGAACATGGTAGGACACGGCATAAAAACCTGGAGAACAGGGACTTCCCTAGTGGCTCAGTGGTTAAGACTCCACCCTTCCAATGCAGGGGGCCCGGGTTCGATCCCTCGTCAGGGAACTAGAACCCACATGCATGCCACAACTAAGAGTTCATATGCCATAACTAAGGATCTGGCAAGCCACAACTAAGGAGCCCACATGCTGCAACTAAGGAGTCCTCGAGCTGCAACTAAGGAGCCAGCAAGCCACAACTAAGGAGCCCACCTGCCACAACTAAGACCTGGTGCAACCAAATAAATAAATATTAAACCCAAACCAAACCAAACCCGGAGAACATAATCCAAGCACAGCTAGGGCAGGGCAAAGCTCAGGACTAAAGATTCTACAACTGCTGTGGCAAATAGGCACACTCAACTTAAAGCTGGGCTGCTAGGATGTTAGCAACACCAGCTGTGTACAGAGGCAAATAACAGAAGCAGGGCATTAATGAGGGCCTTGTGTTTGGAGGACCTCAGCATAGTAAAACATAGCACAGCACAGTAAATCTCAAAAGTGGGCTACACAGCAGCTGTTAGGGCAGGCCCATTAGAGTGGTTAATCACAACAAAGGGCTTGCCAGGAAGGGCTGCCACCAACGGGTGGCAATTGTGCTGGGCCTCCATAGGCGGGGGTGAAAGTGCATCTCTGGGCAGATGAAATAACTTGACAAAAGCCCCAAAGGCAAGAAAGTTTTTGGAGAGTGTAAATGTCGCAGGGTGCCTGGAAACATAGAGGGAGAAGCAGGGTGTCAAAGGAGGAACACTCAATGATGCAAGAAAAGCCCAAGAAAAGCACCAAGTAACCCATTTAGGGTTCTGAGATCCAATCAATAAACTATGGGACTCGTTGGTTCACAATTAAGAAAAAAGACAGAGAAGGGAAGGGAAGGAAAACAGAGAAGACAAAAAAAAATCCACCATGATTTCACACACAAATTCATTCTGCTTTCTCTATGGGTCAGAAGAGGGAAAGAATGCTATTCTTTCTTTTTAAATTTTTTTTATTTTTAAAATTTATTTATTATTAATTTTTTTGGAGTATGGTTGCTTTACAATGTTGTGTTAGCCTCCACTGCACGACAAAATGAATCAGCCATTACACATACAGATATCCCCTCCCTTTCGGACTTCCCTCCCATTTAGGTTACCACAGTGCATTTGGTAGAGTTCCCTGTGCTATACAGTATGTTCCCATCAGTTGTCTATTTTATACATAGTATCAATAATGTATGTGTCAATCCTAGTCTCCCAATTCCTCCCACCCCACCCCTTTCCCCCTTGGTATCCATACATTTGTTCTCTACGTCTGTGTCTCTGTTTCTGCCTTGCAAATAAGATCATCTATACCATTTTTCTAGATTCCACATATATGCGTTAGTATACAATATTTGCTTTTCTCTTTCTGACTTTACTCTGTATGACAGTCTCTAGATGCATCCACGTCCTACAAATGACCCAATTTCATTCCTTTTTATGGCTGAGTAATATTCCATTGTATATATGAACCACATCTTCTTTATCCATTCCTCTGTCGATGGACATGTAGGTTGCTTCCATGTCCTGGCTATTGTAAATAGTGTTCTATGAACACTGAGGTGCTGTGTTTTTTTGAATTATGGTTTTCTCTGGGTATATGCCCAGTAGTGAGACTGTTGGGCCATATGGTAGTTCTATTTTTAGTTCTCTAAGGAAACTCCATACTGTTTTCCATAGTGGCTGTATCAATTTACATCTCCCACCAAGTGTAGCAGAGTTCCATTTTCTCCACACCCTCTCCAGCAATTTTTGTTTGTATATATATATATATATATATATATTTTTTTTTTTTTGTGTTAC